GTCTAAGTGTCTCAATACACGTAAACTTCCTAAATTTTGGTTTGTCCGTTGTTGTAATTTTCATACTTGTACATAACAAGTTGAAATCCTTAGCTACAGTTGTGATACTATGATGGACCTTTCAGCGTTCCCGCATATTAAGTCAGCACACAATTCACCTCATGGAATGGAATCCATAACGGTCCATTTTCTAAATTCCACTCCCGTGATTCCGGATTCTGGGTACTGGATTCTGGATTCTTTGTCAGTGGAACTTGCTTAATTGTATTCTGGATTCCAGCAGTTAGTGGGATCCAGATTCCTTGAGCTGTATTGCTGATTCCAAAGCCCAGGATTCTGGATTCCACGAGATAACGTTTCTGGATTCCGGATTACACGAGCAAAACTTCTCTGGCTTCCGGAATACAGATTCCCTTACATGGAGCAACACAATGGAACGAGGCTTGGGTAGAAAATTTAGTACAAAGTGTATATTGTCACCCCAAGCCATGATATGGTTCTGGAATGTAGGAACGAACTATATATCGGTAAAATTTATTACTTTTTTTAAACTTGGTATAGTTCAACCAAAACTTAACAACAAATTTCCCTCTTATGTAACGCAGGCAGCGCTTAAGAATGTCACGATTTTGATTTATCACTTCTTTCCTGCACAAAACGTGCGGTAATAATTGAGACCCAAGCAGTCTTAAACAACTGAAACTCGGCCCGCTTTTAGTCAACTTTAAATTTGATGTTGTATGTGTGAGAGAGAGAGAGAGATCAAAAAATAACTCAGGTCAGGAGTTACTGTTTATATCCTTCTTTCAATATTCTACTTGGATTTCGAAAGTTCTTTCAACCTCCATCTAAAAGGAAAACGGAAATAAGACGCTTAGAAATATAAAACAGACCGGACAAAGGGTAAAATAGGCAATCTTTCCATACCAAGTAATCACTTTTAATTATTTAAGTATTCGAAATAGAGATAGTACGAAAATTGGAGGAAATAAACACTTTTTAAAAAACCTCTTTATCTTCTGAGCACACTTTTGATTTTCTTTTTGTTCTGGGGAGAGGGGGGGGGTGGGGTAGGGTTACTTCTAAGATCCTTTTGAGAAGGCCTATTGGATACCATATCGTTGGAAACATCATAACAAGAAGGAATTGGTTTGAAATACATTATCTTGTCCATAATATAGGTTATAAAAAATGCGATGTCAAAGTTTTTTATTGCTCATTTTCTTGCTCATATCAACTCATATCGGTTGTTCAAACGCAACGTCTTAAAAGTTGTAACGATCATTTCATTTTACAGTGGACTGACCTTCTATCTTGCAAGTATTGTCGATAAAGTAGAAACCTTGGATACAAGAACATTTACCGTCAACACAAACAGCATTTAAAGGACATGTATGGCACACTAGCTCTGAAAAGAAAAAGGTACGTCGATTAATTTATAAGCATAACTTAAACAAGCGTTGGTCGCCTTTAGTCAATATCAAAAGTCCATGATCATGAGAACTTAGTCACAGAAAACAATAAAAACAGAAATAAAAAGATGAGACGTAAGTAAAGAAAACTAAGGAATTACATCATGCAGCAGTTGACTGAATGATCGAAGTCAATATCTACAAGTGAGTGCTTATTATGAAATGGGGGATTGATCGTATGTGCAACCAGCTTGGTAGTATAATTTGGAACTCACCCGACTGCTAAGAGAAACAGCCACGCTCGAAAAAATTTGTTTCGGAGCCTGCGAGTCTAACCCAGGCTCAGTTAAGGTGACAATGTTTTCGCTACGTGGTGGAGTACCTCGGTAATCTCGTACCCTGTGTAAAACAGAGTGAGATCTGGGTACGAGATTAGTACCTTGGGTGATCTCGGCCAAGGATGCGTTCACTATATTGGCCACTGACTGGTCCGTGGAGGACTGTGTATCCTGGCTAGGTGCGGCTGGCCATTGCGCTTTCATTGCCTCCGCGACAGCTAGCTGTACAGCGTTAGAAATCGAGGCAGAGAGGGCCTGCATGTTGACGGCCATGAGAGGCTGCTCTGAAGCTTCAGCTTGTTGTTGAGCACTCGGTCCAGGGCGGGTTTCGATCAGTTCTGTCACACGAGCCCGCTTCGCAGAACTTCGCGTGCGTGTTTGAGACGTTCGCTTCTGCTTAGGAGGCATAACTTCGATAAGTAAAAGTAATTAGATTAAGATAAGGCTAAATACCATATGTTTCCGCTAACATAAGATAAGATATCAAGACGGTATGAGTCAAAGAGGAGCAAATTAATTGAAGTCTGAGCCGGGATGTATACTTTTCCTTTGAGTTTTGTTTTTTGTTTGTTTGTTTTTGTTTTTATAACAAACGGTAATGTGGCTAAGCTACGCACACATAATGGTGACGAATAGCCGAACTCAGCTGAAAATCAAATGGCGAGCCATGTAGCAAGAATTGAGTGACATAATTGCCTGGTAAAAGAATATCAAAGTGCATTGAGGACACACCCAAATAAGGGCGGTCGAATAGGATTGCACACTCATAATATTCACCAGGACACAAAGTATGAATAAGGCCAACGCCAGCAAATACAAACAGTTATGCACGAAAGGCAAACAACAGTTCTGTAGAACTGTAAGAACAATGAGTGCGGCCAAAATAGAATGCGCCCAATTATTAAAATAAAGACGGTAAGTCAGTAACATTAGCGGCTGTCACTAAAACAAAGGCATGGCGAGGC